CGGCAGTCCATGATCAGTAAGTTGTAGATTTCATCCCGCATTGAAAACATTCGACTGCAATAAAGTAGGCATCGCTAGTGCTATCTCCCATTAATAAGGGGAAGAAGCCGCTGATATTCTTATCTTCCCGTCATGAAGAAGCACAAACTGAAATAGGATATTTGCTTCGCTAATGATTATTATTTCAGCACTGGACTGATGTCGTTTTATTTCTCGAGCGTTTTGATCGTTTAAATATAGGTAACAGAAATAATATTATATAATAATATTGATTATTATATAATATTCCCATGCTTTAACGCCGGGAAAGGCATATATTTAACTTTCATGTGTATTTTAGGAAATTCAACCCATGAAATTTTACCTGAGAGGTACTCGATTATTTTACACCCAAGTTTTCTCTTTTCACAAAAATTCAAACCCTCATCGCATGTCACCATTTATTTTTATTTCTCACTTGAACATGCGGGTGTTATTCATGTTACTGAATAATAATATGAAAGAAGTCTTTCATGACTTTTTGTACTGAAGAAAACTTATTTGTTACATGCATTGTACACTAAAATTTTTACTACATCGGGTGGGCTGGAAGGAGACATCAAGCAACCAATATCTATTTTTAATATAAACTGGATATTTTTTCAATTCCAGAATAAGTTAGCGTTAAATACATTGACAAACTCACAACCTTTTGTTATGTACTCGTAGTCATGGTACAGTTGGTACTGAACTGATATGCGTAATACTGTATAGTGTTTGTGACGGCGAGAGAAGGGTGCGAATAGTTTAGTCTGTGATACAATTACCTGTGGAAGCTCCTCGCTTGCCAAAGTATTCAGTAATTATGCATATGTAGCAACGTGAATTTCGGTCGATAGCGGTTCTGCTTTTCTTGCAACTTTATATATTTTTGAAACCTAGCGCTGCGAAGCGTCTTGGGTTATTATGGCGGAACGTTACAAAAGTAAGAATGCGGTTTGCACTCATTGAGGAATACATCACCAGGCACTGATCGACTGCATAACCAACATCTTGCTCATCTCCCTCAGGAGTTTCGTATGTGGCTGTTGCAAACCACTGACATGCACCTCATCCTATAGACCTATCTCCTTGCTGTCCTGTGTTGGAAAGCTGATGGAAGCAATGGTAAATAAACGTCTCACATTCTTCCTTGAGCAGAAGCAGGCCCTGCGGCCTTCACAGGGGGGGTTTCGTTGCCGCATGTCGGCAATTGATCAAGTAGCCCGACTGGAAGCTGCCATCCACCGTGCTCTCCACACAAAGTCAGTACCAGTGCTGCCAGCGCTAGGTTTTTTAAACTCATATCTAGGTTTTTGAGCTCCCTTCTAGGTTTTTAATTTACAAACTGATCCAAATCTAAGTTTTTTTGAGAATGATGCACTAAAAGCATAAATTTATCAGTAATTATTGCCAAGAAAGAGGCAATAATTGTTATAATTTCTAATACATGTTCGCATAAGTTCGTACAGAACTCGTACAGTTCGCTTGCATGTCGGTTAAAAACTAAGAGGCAGTTCAGTTCACTACCCAGTCGAGAGAGCATGTAATTTCACTTGTATTGGAGCAGTGATATCCTTTATTTCTTCACTTTGAATAGCAGGCAAAAACTGATCAATTTTATGGTGCTCGTTAAATTTATGATTTACTAATTAGTCGGGACACGAAACATATGTTATGTTTTGTTCAATATGCTCTGGAGAAAGTTAATGCACTCAACTTGGAATGTCGATCTGAACATTTTAGGTTGGATGTCCTTCACTCGATTGTGTATGCTGAATATAAAATATATTAAGCTATTTCATTAATGAAAAATGCTTGACAAAATCAAAACTATGTGATGTAGATCCAAGTTATAGCAAACCATTCAAACCTCTTGAAGATATATTTCTTAGTGGCAGAACAATGGCAGTGTTGGAGCAAGAGCCCCTAGCGCACTGGCTAATGATGACATCCGCGGAAAATTGAGAAAAGACTGTTTTAACTTTTTGGTATCATTTTGCATACAAATTAAACACAGATTTTCATTGATGATAGAAGCATTATTGCACAACTTTACATTTTAAACCCACAAGCTTTGTCTGCAATTATTCACCTTTTTCCATTGCAACATGCCAACATTAGCAGCACAGTTCAAAAACCAGGAGCCCGAAGATAAATTAAATGATCTTGACGATGAATACCGAAGCTTCAAAGTAACCAAGGACTTACGCCTCACAGAGAACAGCAGAACTGTCGGCATTCTGGAATTTTGGCATAGCCTTAGAACCGTAAAAGATAGTCCTGGCCAACCCAAATTTGAAATTTTATCAAAAATTATTACAAATTTGTCGGTTCTTCCACATTCATCAGCCTGCGTCAAGAGAATTTTCTCTCAAGTCAATAACGTGAAGACTTCAAAAAAAAAAAACTCTTTGAAAGCCACAATTACCCAAGACCGAATCCTCGCTAAAAAAAACGTGAGCGAAACGTGGTCAGTTACAGGAGCCATTTACAGGAGAAAACAGCCATTTACAAGAGATATGAAAGTACCTAGATTAGTGGATGCAAGACATGCTGATAAGCTGTTGTTTACGAGGGGATGAGGATGAATGATAATTGTAATATGTTAAATAACTCTTCAGAAAAAAATTGGAAATATGTTAAATTGTATTATGTTTATCCCTTTATATCCATACTCAATCCTGTGTGAACAACAAGGATTTATTACTATGAATTACATGTTATGAAGAATTCTAGGTTTTTTCAGAGGTATAATCTAGGTTTTTCAAAAAATAGTCGTTGGCAGCAGTGGTCTGTCGGGCAGACGTCTTTGGCAGTTCCGTTCTCTTAAGTACTCAACGCCATCTGTTCGTTTACAGATTGTGAGTACTGTGTTACTGAGTACTGACAATTTATATAAAGTAACATCAACAAAAATACCAACTCTCATCAGCATCTCAAGGACAATATCGCCCAACAAGACACCGAGGGTGGATTCCTCACGAAAGGAGGGCCGTCTCGGCGTCTCCTAGGGGACCATCTCCCAATGCTGGCATCCTGGCAACGAACATGAAGCCCAAGGATCAAAGCTCAAAAGAAAAGCTCAAGAAGGGGGGAAAAACGCTCGAGCCTCTCTCACCAACTGCAAGTAAGAATAAGCTCAGTCAATCGCTGAAAAGAAGAATGAACTTCCCAGCTGCCTCTTCAAAAACCAAGAAGAGTGCTCTGGAAGAATTAGATTTAGAATCTTCAACTAAAACCTCAAACAGACCTACCAATGCAGTCCTAAATCCTGACTCTGCCCCCCAAGCACAAGCAGAGGAAGAATATGATGCAGATTCAATAATAAGTGGAGTCCTATCAGACAGCGAGAATGAAATGGATCAAGCCGATCAACTACAATCAAGCAACAACCTTCCTGCCCAGATGTCACAGACATCCATCATCCATGCCAATACTGGATAGCTCCAGCTCCACTCCTATACCTATGCAACAAGCTAATGCACCAAGATCTGCTAGAGCAAACATAAACTGCCCTGAACAGCTTCAAAATGCAGGAAAGGACATCAGGCAAATACTGATAACAGCAAAGGAAGAACACACAAACCTATCGAAAATAAACCCTTTTCGCATTGCTGCAGCCACAAACAAGATCTGCGGACCAGTAGAAAAAATAGATCATCTTCGCAATGGATCCCTGCTCATCACCACCAAAACGCTGGAACAGGTAAAAACCTTGATGAAATTATCTGAATTCACCCCTGCTGGCACTCCTATCCCAGTAGACACAACAATAGCCTGGTCAACCCACCTTTCATATGGAAAAATCTTTGCTCCTGAACTACAGGGTGAATCACTGGAATATCTGCTGTCAATACTAAAGCCCAACAAAGTGGTGGGTGTAAGAAAACTCTTATCAGACCCAGCTAAGTCCCACATCCCACTGTTTGTCTTGACCTTCTTAAGCCCAACCCCACCCACCAAACTTCGCAATGGATCCCTGCTCATCACCACCAAAACGCTGGAACAGGTAAAAACCTTGATGAAATTATCTGAATTCACCCCTGCTGGCACTCCTATTCCAGTAGACACAACAATAGCCTGGTCGGGATGCATGCCAGAGGCCAGCATTGCCCAAGACCAGCATATCTTTCATCCTCCTTTCCGTGCGTAAGCCTGCTAGAGGGCAGAGTAGACTAAGGGATTATATGTTAAAAGCCAATAGTACAAATCCCCTTCATGGAAATTAACCAGCGAGCTAATGAGAAGTAAGCCCCCAATACAATCGCTCTACGTCGTATTTAAAACCATCCAACAGCTCTATCCCATGCCGTCTAACCTAATCACGATTTTCGGTAAGCAACTCCCTACGCCATACCGCTGTTGATACACAGCCAGCACTCCAGCCCGTCCGTTCATCGCAGCTGTTTTCCCCCGGCATAACTCTACCTCCACGCATACCCCGTCTCCCCGCCTTTTTTCAATGACTGCCGGACGGCTTTTCTTAGTTTCTGCTCACTTGACTGCATTACGCTATGAAAAGAGGATCTATAGGAGTTGTAAACTAACCTAACCTAACTTAACCTAAACTAATTCGGATAAGCATCAAAGGTCTGCGAGAAAAGCCTCCAGTTAGTCATGCGATAATGGTGGAGAGTCGGGGTAAGTGTGGGGGGAAGAAGATGCTGGGGGATAGTAAGGCAGGGAAACAGTGACGCGGGGTCAACGTCTTGCGGAGTAAGTAAGGTGACGACGCATTACCGTTTGGTACAGTTCACATTTGCGGCAATGCAGTGTGGTCAGCGGACACTTAGGATAACTGCATGTGTAAGAAGTGATGGTATGGGTTAAAAAGCATTGGAGAACAACGTATTGACCGTTAACTATGTGGAGTAGCAGCTTGTGTGCTGAATCAGTGTTGGATTAAAGTTCGTCTGGTGAGATAGGTCAATTGACTACAGCTGCTTAGGTGCCAGGATGACAATATGTATAGCATTTTGATGGTTGATGTTGGCTTCAGGGCTGATTTGATCGTTAATTTGCTGGTCTACGGCTGCGCACCCGCCTGGTCGACCCACCTTTCATATGGAAAAATCTTTGCTCCTGAACTACAGGGTGAATCACTGGAATATCTGCTGTCAATACTAAAGCCCAACAAAGTGGTGGGTGTAAGAAAACTCTTATCAGACTCAGCTAAGTCCCACATCCCACTGTTTGTCTTGACCTTCTTAAGCTCAACTCCACCCACCAAAATACAAATAGGGTACTGCTACGTCAGAGTAGATAAATATTACCCCAACCCACTAAGATGTGGGCAATGCTGCCGATATGGGCACTCCCGTGCCAGATGCTCAAACAAACTACCCTCATGCAGCCACTGCAGTAAAATGGGACACACAAGAGAGAGCTGTACAGACATCAACCTGCCCCCCAAATGTCTAAACTGCAAAGGCCCACATGACGCCACATCCAGGCAATGCCCAAAATACTTGGCTGAAGTTCGTGCATGTCACCTAACTGCGGATGAGGGGCTCAGTTTTGCAGCTGCGAGAGCACAAATTCAGGCTGAAGAAAGAAACCCGGATTCCTCTGCAACTATGCCTCGCAACCCAGCAAGCACAACTCCTCTTCACAACAGTAACAACCACCAAAACAACTCACCAACAACAGCCCCCCACAATCTAGATCTCAACTCTCTGAAGGCTTTCCCCACACTGACACAGCTCATTGCAGAAGACTCATCATCCTACATCCCACCTTACCAGATACCACCCAATGAACCCAGCTGGAATAGGGGCCCTCCAAGTACACCCAGAACACACAACCCCCCAACGCAAGCTCCTTCTTCTTCACTACCACCACTACACCATTCACTCACTCAAACCCCCTCACACAACACAAACCCAAACAAAATAGGCACACAATCAAAATCTCTAAACAACAACAATGCAGATCAGCTACCACATGCCTTCAAACATGACCAAGTACACAACTGCCCAATAACTGCGTCACACGCCTACACTCAGCATACCACAACCACCCCTCACCCACCAACAAACCATACAGCAGACATACTCCAAATTATAACCAAATTAGTGCCAATCATCATACGCTTGTTCTTTTCAACACAAATCACAGACAAGGCCAAGTGCTTCCTCGAGATTGGCCACCTACTGCATGCTGACTCAACTGTTGTTGACTCACTTGCACAATTCGGCCTCACCTCTATCTCCCAATGAACTTCAAGATCATTCAATGGAACATCCGATCCCTGCTATCCAACAAGCCTCACCTAATGCAACTAATATCAGAACACAACCCAGATGTGCTATGCCTACAAGAAACGTTCTTACAGCCTAACTCTAATGTACAATGTACATGTATCAGGCTATCAACACCCTGCAGCAAGATGCGATCGAGTGTGCAGCAGAGGAGGCAGTGTAATAACCCTGGTACGGACATCCACCCCACACTCAATATTACCACTCACATCCCCACTTGAGGCCTGTGCTTCCATTATACATCTCCCCCAACGAGATATCACAGTTTGCACCCTATATATGCCCCCACACTACCCAGGAATGTCATTCAGGCAGAATTACCTGTCTTGATCCAAAACCTCCCTCTTCATCAACTGCCCTGCACTGTCTCCTCTTCGCAATCAACTGAAAGCTGCTTGCATCTGCCTCAGTCTCCTTCAGCCTGTCCTTGCTCATAGCCCCTGAATTTCCTGCTGACATAATTATTAAGTACCTCCAAGACATCAACATGCTTGACAACATTTAGTAATCCCCAAAGATAGCTGAATGGGGGTGCCAATACTTCAGTCGGTGATGCGCCTCATATTAACCAAATAAGAGTCCATGTGTAACAAGTGGTCATCAGGCAGCTACTTCCTCACCTTCAAGCTGCTAACAACAAGTTCACCCAGCGTGGAGTCGTCAGTCGTGGACACCCCAGAAAAGAAGCCGTGTACTACCATGCCTTGGTGGTCGCTATCACCAAGCGGCACGCAGTAGTACGCAATGTCGTTGTATTGCTGTCTCGCTCACAATGTCGCTCTTGGCTAGAGATGCGACGTAAAAAAAACACTCATGTTTTTTTTAATAAAAAACAAGTTTTTTTTAATAAAAAACATCAGCCTAAAAAAAACATGTTTTTTATTGTTTTTTTAGAAAAACATAAATAAATGCAAATAAATCCATAATCACTTTACCTGAGGGCCACAGGATATAAGCTTTGAACTAGAAGTATTAGGCTTGATAAATTATAAATCGCACATGAGATATGTTAAATAAGATTTAAAAACACATCATTTCAATGTATATTAAGGGTATAGATATATTGATCCCAAATAAATACACGAAAGAAAAAAAAACAATAAAAAACAAAAAAAAAAAACACATAAAAAAACGTTTTTTTTACTAAAAAAAAACACTGTGGAAAAAAAACGTTTTTTTTTGCATCTCTACTCTTGTCCAGTCTTGGGCTTCAATTTGTCCTCTTGAAAATGCTAGGTCCTGTTTGGTACCATTGCCTTCCACATGGTTCCGTTGATATTTTCATCATTGTGCCATGGCTAAGGCCGCTAAGCTTATGCTGTTTAATATTAATGGTTATACATGAGGCTAGTATTCTAGTAATAACTGCCGCCTGCAAGTATTTGCTTCAAGTTTCCACACCAAAAAAATATATGCTGATCTATTTTTCAAATGCAAGTAGGTGATGCTATTGGGTCTGAATCATTTCAGGTTGAGGTTGTTGATCATTTAATCATTTTAATGTGCTGTGCAAGCATCATTGCATATGCATAGTGGTTTTGGCAAACAAGGGATTTTTAGACTCCATTCAAATTGGTTGAAGTTGAGCTGAACTAGTTCAAAATTTTGTACATATTTCTAAAATGGAGTAATGCCTATAAGTCAAAATACTAAGGAGTTAGGAGCACTGGAGCAGCAGAGCTCACTTAATAAAGGCTAAAGGGGAAGTATTGAATATCTTGTCAGTTGCCACTGTCATCACAGTAGGTAAATTGATCAAACTATGTCTTGTCTGTTGTGTAACTTGTGTTGTCCCAATGTTGTAGCCAATGAATATGGTTCTAGACTTCTAGCCTCCTAGGAATGTTAAGACTTAAGAGCTGTTCAGATGTTATTAAACTGTTCTTATGTACAGAAACTTCAAAAGTATGATCGTGATCATCATCTACTGTGGAATGTTCATCACAATGAATATATACTAACAAAAACTAATTGAGAAACTCAAAGAAAGTAGCAGCAAAAGTGCAAAACCTAATTGAAATACCATAAAATGGAGTAACTTAGACTACTTCTTTTTTTTTAAATGATGCCATTTTTTTACTAGCTATATTAAACTTGAATTGAAACATGCAAAATACAGGTCTATACTCTAGGTTCACTCACCATAAATTGCTAGCTCCTGCCTCTCATAGTTTTGATGTAATTTAAAAAAAAGTGATGGTCTTTGTTACCCCAGCTCTTGGGGTATCTTAGACTGGGTGGTAAAATCAATTATATTTTTTGGTAAAATAACTCTAAATAACTCCAGGTTTTGGTGCATTGTAGTAGAACTTTTCTAGTTACATATGCAAATGACTTATTTGAGGAAAGTGTCATAGTTTGCAAATGGGAGGCATTGCCCCCGAATAGGGGGAACTTAGACCACCTAATGTCAGCCGTGATGGGGTAATATTGACCGGCTTGGAAATTAAGTTGAAATTACCATGTATAAGACTCTATAGTGTCTGAAACAAAGAAAAAACATTAATAGGTGTATCAAACATGAAATATGTTATATATGGTAATTTTAAATTAATTTTCAAGCCTGTCTATTTTACCCCGTCAGGGCTGACAGTAGGTGGTCTAAGTTCCCCCATTGGGGGTAGTGCCCACTGCCCCCATTTGCAAACTATGACACTTTCCTAAAATTTGTCATTTGCATATGTAAGTATAGAAGAGTTCTACTACAATGCATCAAAACCTGGAGTTATTGTACCAAAAAATAAAAAAATTGGAGGGGGTACTCCGACAGGCTTTAAATAATACCTAGCTCTTTTTTTGTGGGTCACATTTTTAATTTTTTAACCTATTAGATATGCAAACTTTTTAAATCTTTCTATTGTGTTACGTAGCCTCAGTATTAGGCCTTTAATGCCCATTGACAACATTTTTCTATCTCAAATAGTTTTTGAGTTTTGGGGGTTTTTGTTAAAAAAATGAACAGTGGTCTAAGTTACCCCGGGAGTCTAAGTTACCCCATTTTATGGTATTGTAAAAATTAAAAATAGTAGCATAAACTTTAATATTTTTCCTATCTATGTAACATAAAAAAATGTAAGAAACCATAGATTTACTTGTTCTGAAAATCCATGAAAGAATGTTAAAAAGTGATTTTTTGGAAAAGTACTTCTGCTAAGGTCTGTAGTAAAAAAAATATTTGCCGTGTTAAAAAATTTTGCTTGAAAAAAAAATTTGCAGACAGGCGCTGGATTTAAAATGTTATTTGGCAGGAGCTGGGATTTGCACACCTGTTAGCTACCTCAATCAAGAACAAAATGGCTGCCCTTTCTGCATGACTGGGTGTTGTAGCAGTGCGTTGCGAGTTCGAGACCTCAAAATGCTGTGAATATTCTGCGATGTTAAGAATTGGTTACAGGCCTACGGCCTAATAAATTCTGAAACCGCTATTATTATTATTATTATTATTATTATTATTAATATTATTAACAAAAAATTAATGCATTATTGGTCATCACAAAATTGTGCATAGAATGTCATAAATAGAATTGTGTGCTGGGCAGCCTGGAGTGAAAAGTATTTAACCAAAACTGTGAATTATTTCTTCAAAAATTATGATTGGTGTTGCTAAAATATTCCTATCTGTTTCAGGCATGCTTTTTACAATCTTGTTAAAGTGAATTTTGAACCCAATTAAAATGGTGCAAAATTGCAAGCTCAGTCCAGTAAGCATATGGAGCAAATGCCATACGGCTGCTAATATGAAGCATGCAGCAGACAAGGTCATTGTCAATGGCATGGAAGTTTTTTTTTTAAGTGTTTTTGGTAGAGAATGGAACAAATAGTTTTTGTCAACGGGAAATGGAGATGGTGATATCATCAATAAATGGAAAACAAGTACAAATTGCAGAAAACAGCATTTATTCTAAATCTACATCATCTACAAATGAAGAGGAGGACTTCAGAGTACTGTTAGTAATAAATGAGTACACTCTGCAATCTGCATGCATCAAATGTTTTAAAATTAATTTATATTTCAAGTGTCCCATATTACCCCATTTCCAGGGGTAATTTGGAATGCTTTTTTTTTTTTGGCTTCTGGCACCTTGCAAAAAGTATATTTAATTTTCCAGAGATGTCATACAATAGCCCTTGCAAAGAATTTTAGAATGAGCCCAAAATCGTTAATGAAATATTTCATGGTAAGAAGTTATCAATGAAAAACATAAAAAAAGCATCCCTTACTATCCTGTTTGCCAGTGTATCCCTTCAGAATTTTATATCAAATTTTTTTTAATGCCACTTTAAATGTATTTTTTGTAAAAAAATCCTGAATGTTCAGGCATTTACGGTGACAAATCCTCAATTTCACTAGTGACATTTATGGTCTAATGACCTGTTCTAGGCAACACAATGGCAAGACTCTGCATACTGCACAGTGAAGCTTATGAATAACATCTTTCTATTGTGAAAAGATTGCAGGTTTGCCATTAATATCTTTGAGTTGAAGTTTAGTTTTCAGCTCTCTAGTGTATACCTACTTCTAGTATTCATACTCCTCTAGCTGCCTAGCTCATGATTAACTTGTTCTTGTTTATAATAATTGAAGTAGGTTTGGCTAAATCTCTTGTAAATTTTTTATTTTGGTTTAGTATAGGTATACTTGTCAGAGTCTTTGCAATCATTGTTGTATTTAATGTTGTCAGCAATATCACTCATGATACCCAACCATGGAAAGTTTCATGACGTCTGATCCAAGATGCTAAGTGCTATCAAATTATACAAACTCTAGATGCTGCATGGTCAATGCTTGCTGAGATTGTTTGTCAATTTGTCATCATGTTGTTTCAACAAAAAAATTTGAGTACCCAAATCTCAGCTCTCTGTTCTTTGAATCAACAAATAGTCCTTGTGGGTGAGTTTTATTCTCTGCTTAGCTACTTAAGTTTGCTCTCTTATTTTGTATGTGCTGCATTAGTTTTTCATTTAGAATGGCATGCATGTTATTATGAAGTTTGGCTCCAGGCACCATGTCTGATTCAAACTCCCATTCAAACTAATAATATTGTTGACAATAAATAAATATAATAATAAATAAAGGTATGTTATTTATATGTTTTTTTTTTTTTTTTGAATAAACAAAACTAGAACAACAAAGCATGTTATTAATATGGAAATTATATTAATAATGCATATCATATCATGTTCATTGCTCATGCAGGAGAAGGACAGTACGTACTGGTGTACACGTCCCTGTCCAAGCAGCTGCTCCAGAAGATTAAGGTCTTCACTAAGGTGTCTGTCCATGGCTTTTCTACATCAACACAGCCTCATGGTGAATATTTATTTTTATGTATCCTTATAAAGCAGTGCACTCAAAGCATATGACTTGTACAGTTGTATTATAAATGACTTAAATGTAGCCTAATTCAATCTATAATGCAGGTGAATATTATATTGCTTAAATAATTTAAAGTAACTGTGACTGGGGAATATTTTTTCATCTTATTTTTGCTTTTTGCCTAGTCATCTGTGTAATTAAGTGTAAACAAATGCACTGTAAAACTTGAGGAAATTTATCTCCATTTTTTGGCTGCATTATTAATTTGTATGTGAAGTACAAATAAATAGACCAAGCAAGTATATATTTTCCATTGAAGTGCTTTCTTTGGTATTATATACCTACATGCATATGGTGTCAACAATTCCATAATACTGACAATGATTTTAGGAGGTGCATTCACTGTGACACTAAACACTAATGAATTGCTCATTCACTCCATTTTGTTCTTGAAATAATCAATAGCCCAATGGATTAGTGACTGAACTCTTCGCCTGATTTTACAACACTTCTCTTTAACTTCACTTCTTGTTTGTCTGTCTGTCTGTCTGTCTGTCTGTCTGCTACAAATCTTGTAATCGAAATTTAATACACTTCTACTTATCCTATCGATCTTAAATTTTGCACACTTGTTTAAAGTTGGAGACAATGCATGAATCAAATGTCAAAATAAATGATTTTTAAAATTTAATTTTTTTTTTTTTTCAATATTAAAAAATTGAAAAAATAATTTTGTCAGCTACAAATCTTATAACTGGTATTTGACACACTTTTACCTGTCTAATTGATCTGAAATTTTGCACACTTGTGTGAAGTCAGAGGCAATGCATGAATCAATTGACAGAATAAATAATTTTGAAAAAAATTTATATATTAAAAAAATTTATATATATATGGTATTAAAAATTGAAGAATAATTTTTTTTAATTTTCGAAAATTAGATGAGAAATTCATTGTACATCTGTAAGATTGGAGATACTATAGATTCTTTGGAAGTGTTGTCCTTAAAAAGTAATTTTTAAACGTATATTATTTCTCTTGATGAGTGTATGGTTGGGTACAGAATAATATTTACTAAATATAATACCTTCATTATTGTAAATGTTCTTTAATTGTAGTGTTGTAAATAGTTGTTCTGGATGGCAGGATGCGGCGGCAGTGCAGTGCTGGTGTGGGGGCAGCGCTGCTTCAGAGTGCTGCATCTTGATGAGCATGGACAATGGTACTGTACATTATCTTGCTATCTGCTTGTTGTTACCTCAAAAATATCTTCTTCTAAAAATTCTTTTGGCCCAGTAGAAGCTCTTGATATTTTTCATTTGTGTGGCTACCAATTTTATCATTTTCAGCATGACAACATAATTTCAAAGACTAAAATTAATGCAATGCTTTGAAATAAACTTCACAGCAATATTTTCAAACTTATATATAAATTACAAACCATTTTGAAAGACAATATATTACTCTTGTCATTTCCAAGTTATTTGTAAAGGACTGAATGTCTATAATAACATCATGCAAGATACTGTAATCTTTACAAATTTTACTGTTGATATTACTCAGATTTACTCACTCAAACACTCTACCATTATCAGTCTTCCTGTCCTTCCTTGCTCAGTTTTGATTTTCTTATTTACTTTCACTATACTGGACAGTGAACATGTTTTAGCTGCTGATCCGATCCTATTTTAGTTGCTGAACTTTACATATTGTAACTTCTGATCCAACTTTTCTTCCAGCTGTGTCATTCTGCCAGAGCAAGTGGCTGAAGACTGGATTATATCAGGATGTTGGCTGCATAGTTCTCCCATGGCAACCAAGGAGCTGATTGCACATAAACAGGAAGGCTGCAACTACAGCAAATGTCCCTCGGACGTGAAATTACCTCAATGTAAAAAGCTGGAATTGAATGCTGTTGATATGAATTTTCAGAAATTTATTCTGATGACAGCTCACAGTTCGTCTCTCATTTATGCCATGCACTCTCAGTGCATAACTGTGAAGGCTTTTGATGCGCCTGAAACCGCGTATCAGGCTTTGGAGCGTCGGGAAATTGAACTTTATTGTAGTTCCTCCTCAGATGAGGTGCGGCATCCCCCCATAGAAAGCGGAAACTCGCCCACTAATATCGACCATGAGACTGTGAAACTATACGCTGTCACTCTTATAGACAGAGTGCAATGCTCAGACAAATGTATTTTGTTCAGTGGTTGCATCATAGCTGAGTCAAACCTTTGTGGTGAAGCAGCTCGTGTCTGTAACGCTTCAGATGAAAATATTTCCCGAGAACAAGATGAAAATTATAGTGATTTTGTAATTGATAAATCTAGTCAAAATACTGCAGAAGCTGGATCTGTCAGTCCATGGAACTCTTATAGTTGGGTGTGTGTTGGGGGCACAGTCATGGGCTATCTCATCATCTGGGGAGCCCATGGGACCCCACAGGGAAGTGAAGTCACCCCATGGCACATCCTCCAGGTTCACAAGGTTGGTGCACCAGCAATCTTGCTGGTATTAGAGTGCGCGCGATTTCAACCATAATAATTTGTTCTACATGCTATTTTATTCATCACCCTGTGCTAGTGTCACCTTATCTGCCATTTCTGAATAAATAATTGTGCTGAAGCAAAAAATTTTCACATGTTCATTTTTATGTTGAAGAGTAAAGCTCCTACATGTTGATCATGGCATCAGTAAAATTTTCTATGTAGGGTCATCAATATTTAGCGTTACAACTTTGAGTGGATAAAACTATGAAATGAAACACAATTGTGAATGTTTGAAAATGTTTTTATGAAGACAGAGGTTTAGATATACAATTCCCACAATTTCATTCAATATGTCCACTATCTGCATCAATAACGAGTTGTAGAAAGCCTTACACGAGTCACGAATGACACTCAGCGGGATTTTGGCCCACTCCTTCAGCAGTTTGACCTTTAGGGCGTCCAAACTGTGATGGTGAACGGTCGAGACCTTGCTCTCAAGGTATGACCAGATCCCAAAATCCAGAGGATTCAGATCGGGTGACGATGGGGGCCATTCATCTTTGGTAATGAAGTGGGGAACATTCTCGGACAGCCACTCCTGAATCGATTTGGCCCCATGGGATGGTACAGAGTCCTGCTGGAACGACCAGGGACGTTTTTATAATGATAAAGATTAATGGGAAGGTGTAAAGAAATGACAAATATCGAGGACAATTATCAACAATTGATTTTGAAAAAAAAATGTAACGCTAAATATTGATGACCCTGTATTGATATTTGTATGTGCTGGTCGTTGGTGAACCCAAGTCATGATACACAATATACGGTACATGTTCATAAATTTGGATAATTAATTATACATGTTGATAGATTCAGATAATTAATTATACATTTTCATAGATTTAGATAATTAATTTGGAATTCTAGATTCAACACCTTGGTAACTCACCCCTACCGTGCAGGGGGTGGTTTTCTCGGTTGCATGGAACCCACAGGCCCGGTTACTGACCACCACGTCGGACGATAGGCTTGTGAAGACGTGGTCTGTACAAGACACATGTTCTCCACAGCCTCCTTCACTTTACTTGAACAACAGCTGCTGCAATCGAGATTTTATATCTTCAAATAATTCCGAAACTTGTTCGCAGACCAGCCCGGAAATTTCTCTTCACAAAGAAAATAACTTGTCTCGTGAGAGAACAACTTTCAATTCTCTTGAATTGCTAACCCCAATAGAGACCTTTGGTTCAATTGCGTCCAAAGCGAGTCCTGCCATTAAAAATATTACTAATCATTCTGGAAATAATGAGATTGAATTTAGGGAAAGAAATGAGTCTGGTCTTGAATCAAATGAAGTTGAAGCTAACCTCATTCAACAAGTTGACACTGGCCCGAATTCGTTGGTCACGAAAACTAGTACATCAAAAACCAGCAAAATTCTTGCTGAAAAATCGAATTGCTGGAGACGTTGCAAGGTTCAGCCAACTTTGTCATGTCCTGGGCACGACGCCCGCGTGTGGCGCAGCTGCGTGGTGCAGTGTGATGAGCAGCAGTACGTGGTGAGCACTGGAGAAGACTCGCGTGTGTGCGTGTGGAGCAACTGTGGTGACTTGGTGCGTGCGTGGATTGCGCATGAGGGAGCCAGCGTGTGGTGCGTGGTCACGCAGTCGTTGGTCATCACGAAGAATGAGCCTCCTGTTCTTGTGCTGATCACGGGCGGCGGTGATGGTGCCGTCAAATTGTGGCCTTTGAAGCAACTTGTAGAAAAACGGGACAGTTTCTCACCAACGTCGTACCCGTGGAATGATGTGAATTTTAACAGAGTAGTTCAGGATTCAAAAAAATTAATAAAAACACAAAGGGAAAGTAAGTTAACCTATGAGAAACAGACATTCCCATCATCATCCGGTACAAGAAAATGCTCTGTCAGTCATTCTCCAGCTCCTGATGATGTCGGTGAGAACGCTGTCTCCATTGCTTCAAACGTTCCACTTGTACCTGAAGAAAATACTCAAAGTCTTGCAGGTTCTAGTGACGTAAATATAGAGGCTGGAAACGATTTATTTGATTTTAAAACATCGGAATCCCATCCTCCTCCCTCCTGCAAGAAAGCAGTTCTGTCTGACTGCAATAGTAAGCCTAACGACTCGTTCGTACGTTGCTTGGCTCTGGTCGAGTCCAGCCACTGCGTCTTGACTCTCGACAATGGCCAAGTGTGGCTCTGGAAATTACCAATGAATAAAAATGCCCAAAATTTTCAACTTAATGAGCACGGTTGCAACTTAGGAATGCCGAAATCTTCCTCACAATCGCAAAACTCATTTCACCAAAGTTTTGGTGCTTCAAATATTCTAGCAACTACCATGCATTCTTCCTGCCATCTCCAGAACAGTCCAAATTTGGCCAATTCCCAGAAAGAAAATCCTCTAAAAAGTGACCAAGTTTCGACTGGTTTTGAGTTACTAAGCTCAACTTCTCAGCATTTGATAGAAAATGATGACGGAAGCCGAGAAAGTTCAAGTGTCTTCAAGACACATGAAAAAATTCCAGAAAATGAGGAAATTCAGAAGAGTAGCATTACTCTCAACTGCCACGAAGAAGTGGCTGCAGATGGATCAGCCTGGCGACTGGTTGCTGAGGATCGAGAGCGTCTCGGTGGCTACACCACAGTGGCTGTGGCACCCGCCACTGCCACAGTGGCAGTATGTGGTCTTCACGGCGACGTCTTCGTGTGGCGAGACATTCTACGGGGTAGGCGCTCACTTGTATTGGTGCTGACGACGCTTGTAATATTACGAACGTAGCTGTGCAATAGATATTAGATACCACCTTGTATAATGAGTGTTTATATAGCTGTATAATCACTCACATTAGTATAAATGTACTGCTGGCACACTAAACTGTTCTTTATGATGCCATAGCCCTGGCTATGCGCTGGCTATTGCACAGCTGGCTATAGCTGTATAATCACTCACATTAGTATAAATGCACCGCTGGCACACAGCTGTTCTTTGTGGTGCCATAACCCTCTATAACGCACCCTATACCTGCACACTGTAACGCCACGTTGTACTGCAACTCTAGCCATCTCTCACTCTACAGCAGAGGCGCTGGCACACTAACTGCTCTTTGTGATGCCATAGCTCACTATAACGCACATTGTAACGCCACGTTGTACTGCAACTCTAGCGCTCTCTCACTCTACAGCTGAGGCGCTGACGCCGCTGCTGCTGCACGCTGCACAAGCGAAGGTCGTGTGGTGCGCATGGCTGAGTGACGTCACGCTGCTGCTGTCACTCAGCACCGGCCGTCTGCTGCTCTGCTCCCTAAACCTTCGTAGGAACTATATTCTTCTTCTTAGTTATTGCAAATTGAACTTGCATATCTAATCTTGAATTAGAAAGCTTAATAAAAGGCATAAAAAATACAATTTTTCATGATTAAGAGTAATATGACTGAAAAAATTGAAATTTAGTCACATTTTTCTGTAGACATTCACTTGATTTAAATTTATCTGACTTACTCTATCGTTGAAATATATAGGTACTGGTTTATTTTCAATTTAATGAATGTAGTTTTCTTCTTCATTGTTCCCACAAACACATTTTATTGTACTTATCAATTGATTACAAATCATTTGTTACTTCATCCAAGTTCATCGTTGCAAGACTGAATACATAGATTATCAAGGTAACTTATTTAATAAATAAATTTTCTTGTGAGACTTTTTTGTATTCATATCTGCATTGAATTATCTGAGAGAATAAGAAAAGATTGTAAAACTGGAAGGGAATTAAGGATTGGAGCATAATCGAATTTGTATTAATACATTTTAAACTAATATTTGATTGTTGTTTCCAGTGGAGTTGCAGCTACTGACCAGCTTTGAGCTGCCGGCAAGTAAACAGCGCTGGTGCACTGCCGCCGCGCTGCTCTCAGTGCCGCCACGGCAGCCGGGCGAGGAGGGTGTGTGCTCTGAAGCTCTGCTTGTCGGCGACCGTTCTGGCAGCATTCATGTTTTCAACATGCACGTGAGCATGATTATTATTTATCTCTGCAAATCAGCCCACATTTATGTTGACTAGGATGCTTTATTTTGATCATCATTCGGTCTTTATTTTGTTGTAGTTCTTGACGTTGCAGTCCCAGGTCACGCGGTTGCGCCGCCCTACTCTACTGCAGCCAGACTTTACAATTGCTAAAATATTTATTTCCGTGCGAGCAAACAATCATATGACACTGTTGGCCTCTTTACATTACATGGTCTTGTGCAAAGAATATTTTTCACTTCTGTAAAGCAATCTTATTCGTTTTCTGTGTGTAATATTGCTTACGTTTGCCATCATATGACATGGCTCACTATCTCATAAATTCCATGCCTTTCATGACTTGTTTGTTAAGTAGTTTATACATACAATGATTTTCAAGACTTATGTTTGTAGAGTCCCAACCCGGTTGGAACTGCAAAGAGCGTGCACGGCTCAGGAGGAGTAACAAGCGTGCGTGCTCACCCCTCGACCGCCACTGGGACACTGGCCGTCTCCTCGGGACGTGATGGTTGGCTGCGCTACTGGCGATGCTCGCAGTCAGCCGCCAACACGAGGTACGACAACACAGCGATTTGTCTGCGTCTGGCAGTCATTGGTCTCTCCTACCCGGCCTATTTATTTAAACCTTAAGGTGCTTATACACGGGGCGAGTAGTCGAGTCGACTACAGTTTTGCAGGCTGAGAGCCTATACATAAAAAGAGTGTTTTAGGTACCAGTCCACCGGCGCCAGTGCGATGTTGGAAGTTGTCGAGTAAGGTGTGTGCATATGGGAAGCAAGCGAGAGTGCCAGAGATGTGCGTACTACAGCGGCTAAGAGACAAGCAAGAGCGAGAGCGACCCAGTTGTGCACACTACGTACAGCGGCCACGGCGGTACTGAATAATCTACCCGACTGGCTCAGAACAACTTGAAGTGCTCTGGGTGCAATGCCCCAGCTAGGCGCCTCTGAAGACGTTAAGCATCACAAATATTTGTGTAGTCGACTCGCTTACTCGCCCCCGTGTATAAGCCCCTTTAGACAACTTTAGGGTGGCCCAGTGGTTACTGTTTAGAGTACCAAGATTGGCGCAGGCCGAAGAGAGGCGCGGGTTCGATCCCAGCTCTGTGCGCCAGTTTCTGGTCAGAATCGGCGAGGAGGCCGGGCGGTTGAGCACAGCAGAAATGGAGCAGTGAGTTGCGAGTTCGAGACCGCAAAATGCTGTGAATGTTCTGCGATGTTAAGAATCGGCGACAGGCCTACGGCCTAATAACTCTGAAACCGCTATTTTTATAATTATTATTATTATCTGTGATCAATTCTGTCAATCTTTCTTTTGGCGAAAATCTTCGAAGTCGTGGTAAAAATAAGTGTAATAAAAAGTTCTACAAGTTTGTCAAGCTGGAGCCTTTGTTGTTCTCCTTGCACGTGTTACATCTGACGTTTAATATCGGGAGCACTCTTGGCTCATGACGTCCTGAACGCAGCTCTATCAGCAGAAGTTTGATTCGTTCATACACCGTGGTCATACATTAGGCTTAGACTTGCGTCTAGGGGGGATATCAGCAACGATGTGGTTTGGTTCATGTTTAGTCATACAACTATTAAGGTTTCACATTTTATAGGCATTCGGATCAGAAATGTTAGTCTTTACAAGTACCTATTCGTCTGAATATGATCCATCAATTCCTGATTCGAATAACTCTAACATTTATTACTAACGCTTGATTTGAGAAACATATTTGGTTTTTTTATCTTGCACATAGAAGACTTTTTTAGAAATAATATTCGACATCAATGATCACATTATGATCTGAGACGCCTGTGTGGAAACTGTCATGCACTACACAGCTCGCCATTGCGCAAACTGGATAAATCCTTAATTTTATTTAACTTTAAATATTCACGTAGATATAAATTTTACTGCTTGATTCAATTTTTAAACTTGGACTGCTCCCTGCTACGTTCTTCCCTGCTACGTTCTTCCTTGACGCTATAGAAACATGGAAACTTCTTTACCATTTTTTATGTAAGAAATTTCGATTTATTTATAAATTAGAAAATATTCCAGGAAAAGTTTGGTTTAGATTTAAGTAGTCACTTATTCAATATAATATAACAAAAAACCCATGATTTAACATTTTCTATTAGTCTAGGTTATACCCTCAAACACATTGTGAGGAATAACCAGGTAATACTTCAGCCACATTGTGAGTAATAACTATTTTATATCTCACATTATGTGTGAGGTGTATCCAGGTTATACCTCACTCACATTATAGGCAATAATCATGTTATATCTCACATTATGTGTGAGGTATAACCAAGTTATACCTCACACACACCATCAGCAATAACCATGTTATATCTCACATTATGTGTGAGGTATAACCAGTTTATACCTCACACACACATTCTAATGAGTGGCCCAGTGTGCAGTTGACGGCGCTGAGTGCCACACGACACGGCGGTGCCACTTGGGTGGCAGCGGTGGTGCCGTGGCACGGAGACGTCCTGGTGCTGTCCTTCAGAGAGGTCAGTGGTGTGATGGTGTGATGGTCAGTGCCTGGCTGGTGTGATGGTCAGTGCCTGGCTGGTGTGATGGTCAGTGCCCTGCTGGGATGATGACTACTAAAAATAACTATTTATAATACTACTATACCATTTTATCAAACAAAATATCCATTTATTCTTGATGTTATATTGTTTGTAATGAAAAACATGATTATTTTTCAAACCCATTTGCTTTTTACTGCGTCTTTACATACTCTCTCATCAGCCTCTTATCCTCCTCAGACCCTCTCATCAGCCTCTAGCAGCCGCTTCTTAGCAGAGATCCTCTTCTATCCTTTCTATATTTCTTCTTTTAGGCTCTATACATCCGGAATAATTTTCAAAGCAGACTTCCTCTTTTATGCTTCCTACTCCCTGTACGATTTTTTTATTTACCTCGCCCCGGTTCTCACTCAACTGTTGTAGGTGCATTTGGAAGTCTGGAGCTCAGAAGCTCGAGCAGAAGTGGCGCGAGTATCGTGTGGCGGTGGCCACAGAGCGTGGGACATCGGCATTACTGCTGCGTGTGGCACGCAACATCAACATGAATATCAACAGAAGCAGCTGCAGCAACAAGAGCAACAACAACAAGCGCAGCAACAACAAAAAGAGCAGCTTGTGGTTGTGTTTCTGAAGGAGGGGCTGCCGCGGTGTTCTTACGTGCCTCTGTGTCGGGGGCTTGAACCCCTCAGGGTATGGAAGCCAGGCTAATTTAACTCATGTCTGTAGAGGGTAACTCGAAGTTGACTGGTCTTTAAGCGCTATTAACATTGGCGAGTGCAGAGAAAAGCCTTAATATAATATCAACCTGCCGTTGATTTGTTTATGTTCATATTCTCATGTTGTGTGAACCATTTTCAATTTTTTTTTCATAGTAATTTCTGGCTTCACTCGTTGCGTCATAAATGATTTTCCATAACTTATCACTGCAGGTTGGAATTAGCAGCAAGGCCACGCTGTGCGGTGCTGTGCTGCACAGTCTTTCTGGTAACGCTGTCGTTGCGGTGGCTGGAGAAGACAATAAACTTCAGCTACTGCACTTCACGCCCTCTGGTGACAGGCGGCAGCTGCTCTCGATCAACAGCCACATTTCTGCCATCCGTTGCTTGTCAGTCATCAAGCCACGGCAGCAAGAAAAAAGGATTTCAGATTTTCCTGGCACGTGTGTTTTAGACCCGCTGAAAACTGATACTTTGGATCCGCTGAAATCTCAATCGGAAGAAATTCCTGTCCAAGAACAAAATCGAACAATTTGTGGCTCAGAAATTCCGGTTAATAAAACCACATCCATTGGAGAAGAGTCTGGCAACTCTGTTTGGTTTATCACTGGCGGAGGTAGAGCTCAGCTGAAAATTTGGCAATGTTCAAGGCAAAGTTTAATCGCAAGTTATGAGTGTGATTATCCAGTTTGTTCGTCCAAAGGCAAAACTCGATTGCGTAAGCAGGATGAAAGCAAGGAATCTATGACAAGAATCCCTGCCGAGTCTCGTGGATCGATTGTCATGGCGCAGGCTGACGCTGGTGGGAGACCTGAAGTAATTCAAGATGACAAAGCGCTGCAAACGTTCTTTTATGACTTCCCAGCGTCACGAGATATGCCTTGTCTGAGCGACATAGCGAGACGTTGTTCAGGTGCTGAGCCTCGCACAGCTGGCAGCTTGCGAGGGGCGGGGCTTGAGTGCAGTGAGGTTCTCAACCACCAGATTTTCCAAGACAGACCTTCCTCGTGGCGGCAAAAACACGTGCAGGTTAGGCTCTATCGTTATTAATTGAAAAAATTTTTTGTTGGATTCTTGCAAAGTGTGTTTTTGATGCATGCTAATTGCTCGTAAAATTTGCTGAGCTAGAACTGCTAGATGATTAACTTTAATATCACATAAATTTTTCAAACGAAAGGAGACTATAATTTTTGACTTTGAGAAATAATGATTTTTGCATTATTACGATTATTTGTTACCTAGGGTTGGCATGTTAGGCAGCAGGGTACATCTGATGCATTCCTTTTAGTCATTTAGCGTGCTGGGGTGTAGAATATGTATAATTTCTAATGTGAAGGGGGTCAAATATAAACTTTTTTACCTGATTACTTCCGACGGTCCTATTTTAATAGAAATTATGATCCATGTAATTAGATGCTCATTTGTCCAATGACGACTTGACTGATTCCTCATTCTATTTATTTTGGTTTTTGTGGACGCGCTCAAACTGGAATCTTGAACATGCGCAGGTCGATGCGGAGGTGCGCCACATGGCCTGCAGTGGCATGTGGCTTAGCGACGCCACTGCCATCATCGCCATCGCTTCATCTGACGGATCTTTAAGGTAATTATCTGGCCAGAATAAATAGTGCTTTTCGTAATGGTCAGTTGCAATTCACGTAAATCGTTGTCTTAAATAAAGCACTTCCCTACGTTGTTCAAAAGATTTATTCGATTTTTGTTCACACTTTAGTCGCGTAGTTAGTGCTCCGTTCAGTGTTAGAGCATAACTGTGATCTAAATCCATGTTCCGTATTTACGAATTAATCTACTATGACTTCTTGAAAATTCTACCAGATTGTCCTGCAGTTGTCCAATGTTCCTCAACTGCTTTTATAAGTGACAATTTTTTAAAAGGATTTTTCGACTTCACGACGCGCGCGGCAGTCCAGCCCTAGACGAGCTCTTCGTTTTCCAGTGGCCCAGATGCCTTCTGCTGGTAGATATCGATCTTCTCCATCAGGATACGAATGGAGTGAACACGTGGGCTCTTATCCACGTCACGGACACGGCTGGGCAGCTGCTGTGTTGTAGCATTAAGGTATTCTTTACGTTGGAGTTCAGAGGCGTTACGTGCAGGGGTTAGACAAAATCAGGGAATCACCTGAGAAACCCACAAAACATATTTTAGTATGGTGTAGGTCCACCTTTTGCCGCAATTACAGCCCCAATTCTTCGAGGCATTGATTCGTATAAATTTTAAATTGCTTCCGAAGGCATTTTAATCCATTCTTCGGTTGAAACTCCCAGTTTTTCTAAAGACGATGGCGGCGGGAATAGACTTCTGACTTGCATCTCTAAAATCGACCATAAATGCTTCATAATATTCGGGTCTGGTGATTGTGGTGGCCAATGAGATGCTCATCTTCATTAAAATGTTCCTCGTGTTATTTTTTAACAATTCCAGCTGTACTGATCGGGCCTTTATCATCTTGAAAAATGGCATTCCCCTCCGGAAACAGTGCTTGAACCATTGGATGAACTTGGTCCTCCATAATTCCTAAATAGTCACGGCTGTTGATTCTTGCATGAAGAGAAATATTGGTCCGCCGGATTTCCAATAAATGGCATCCCAGATCGTAACAGATCCCCCGCCAGGTTTTACGGTTAGGAGGAGGCAGTCAGGATTGAATGACTCTTTTGACTATCTCCAAAGAAGTTGGAAAAAATAAAAACGATTATCCGTCAGAGAAAATAAAATTTTTCCACTGCTTGAAGGACCAATTCTAGAGGTTTTTACTCCACTCTAAACGCTTTGGAGCATTTGCATTTGAAACCAGAGGTTTTCTAATTGCAGCTCTTCCATAGAATCCAGACCTGTGCAGCTCTCGGCGAACAGTCTTCATGGAAACTGGGTTCTGTAGGTGTCCATTGAGATCTGCAGTAATTTTAGCATCCGTGGTCTTTCAAATGTCCCTCACAATTCGATTTGATTGCCGACGGTCTCTCTCAAATAACTTCGACTTTCGGCCAGACCTGTGCTTTGCTGAGGATGTTTTTCCTTCTTTCAAAAGCATTCATTACTTATGAGACAGTAGCTCTAGAAACGTCAAGCATCCGGGAAGTTTCTGTCACACTTGCACCTGCCATACGGGCACCAACATTTGGTCTCTTTGAAAGTTAGAGAGGTTTGCCATTTATAGGTTATAGGCACAAAAATATACTAAAAATATCTCTGCAAGGATGAAATGTCAATTAGCAGCAACAATAAACAATAAAGCCTAAAAATATATCACGTTTCCATTGTTTATAACATGTTCAAAAAATGTTCAAAAATGTCAGGTGTATCCCTTATTATGTCCAACCCTAACCCTCCCTTATACATTACGGTATCTAGAGCCCGTAAAAGTTCTTACGGTTCATGCTCATAATATTATAATTCGACTGATTTTTTCAACATTGCCGATACATGGTAAATTGCTTTGAAGTGAATAAAATATCTTCTCTTAATTGATGAACGATTATTTCACGCACCCATTCATTTTGTTCGGAGTTGAACACGAGTGTTCACAGATTATTTTCATGTTTCACCACTCTATTAAAATTATGTGCACTGTAGTCATGTTTTGTACCTCATTAACGAACGGACCTGATGATTTATGCCTGGAATAAAAAATAGGTTTATTGGAACGTCATTTCAATTGAAGTAAAATTTTATACTTATTCCTAATAATTTCTTGTGTTCTTTATATTATTTCTCGACCAGGATATAAGCAGTGCCGCTGAAGGCATTGAACTCAACTCTGTGGAACTGATCGATAAGTTCTCCATCCATAAGATGGGTATAAATGCCATGGATATCCTCGTTCTTGACGAGCATTTAGTCATGAATCTTCACTTGCAAGCCACGTCACGAGTCGAGCTCCTGGTCACTGGAGGCGACGACAACACGATCGTCGTGAGTCGTCTCTCAGTGACGTGTGACCAATTAGGGCAAGGACCCGAGACTAAAGACGAGCTCGTCAACAGTGTCAGTCAACGTCTACACGCCCGACTCGACCGACTTGGTCATGCCGTTCGCCATTCCTCTCAAATTACAGGTCAGGCTCAAACGCTGGGAAGTGTAATAAATGTGAGCGATACTCAACAGTTGGAAGCTTACAATAGGGAATGCTTCTGCAGCATTGCAGGCTTGGGTGCCTTGAAATTATTTATCACGTGAAACCGTTGCATGCTGCATGACAAGTAATGTTGGCACTCTGCGTAGTTTTTCCTACGATAATTGTGGAATTAGTCGCAAATGAATGAGTTCTAGTATGCAAATTGTTCAGTTTCGTTGGACAAGTGATATATTTAGAAAATTAGATTTTTGTATATGTGTCAATACTTTATTAGTATTCTCTAACGGATTTTGTTGAGATCTTTACAGATGTTAAGACCAAATATTGAAACGTATGGGAAATCTTAAGTTAAGGTTTGCGCATTTCGTGTTTCAGGTGTTTCATGGCTGTCTAGAGACTCTTTCATCAGCTCTTCAGTGGACCAGCGCTTGATACTCTGGAAAATAAATGGCGACGTTTGGTCCGACAGCGTAACTCTGGTAGCCGTGCGCAGCGTCTTTAGTGCCGTTGCTGATATACACGGTGTCCTCGTCTGGCCTCACGTAATTTCTGATGATCATTCCGAAATAATATCAAAAACTAAGCTGGATCTTCCTCATGTAACACCGCCAGTATTAAATCCAACTGGGAATTCTCCTAATTCTGATGTCAAAACTCGAGAAGATGGACTGTCGACTCCGACTCTTTGTGTTGATAAATGTCAAGATCATATAACAGCTGATAATATTCATTTAAACACTTTATCTCAAGATCTAGGCATAGACGTCAGAAACTGCCTTCATAGAATTATGGTTTACGGAACAGGCTGTGAATTGTGGGACCTAAAAATTCCAAATGTTGAAGTATAACTACTAGTGTTATTACCATGTTTTATTTTATTAACCTAAGAGTGCCTTGTCGTTGGAGCTTACCAATTATTTTCACCAAAAATTTGATATCATTGAATTTACTACTTTATGCTTAGAAACCCGACCAATTAAGAAGATTCATGTACCTAGCTGACAATTTCACGGACACACTCAAAATAGTGGTCGAGGTTGCAGGGCATGGAAAGTGTTGTCTAATATAACTCAATATCTTCAAGGTTGTAATTTGTTAATTATATGTAATATTGGGTGAGTGGCACGAAGTTATTTTCTGCTATGAAGAACCCACAAAAACACTCATAAGGGCGCGACTGCTTTAGTGCTGAAACATAGCTGATAGCCATGTTTCACCTTAGATCATCGGTGGGCGTTGGGAGATAGGGTTGTCAAAAGCGGAGGTCTACCAGTGTGGACAACATGCTTCATGACATAGAATGGCCATCATCGTAAAGCAAGCGAAGCCGTGGTATGCTAGACATGTTTTACCAAGTCTGCAACTACCTGGCAAGCGCTGAAGCCAGCCACTTCCTCCATTCAGAATAGCAGAAATTCAAACTTCAACAGTATTTTGTCCCCTACAGCTGAACTCAATTCCGCCAGAGGCTTTTGTTTCCTCTATAGGTGTCTCAAATTGGAGCCAACCATGGTTTTAATAACAAATTCGTTCAGCCGTGGAACTACCTGCCTATAGACTCCGTATCCGCGCCATGCCCATCGACATCGTAGGTTACTTCCCCAGGCCAGTGTAGCCTCCTCTAAATGAGGAATAATAAATAAATATAAAGTACAATAATAACAGTAACGTGTGCAAAAGATACTGCAACCTATTGACATTGGCTCCCACCAGATAATATTAAGAATGAATCTCTATTATTCATCGAGTGGGCTGGGTGATGGAGAGCCGCATGTTTACAGCACTGAGTTGCGGGTTCGAGAACAGCGAAACTGCTTATCAATACCAGCGAGATAACCGGATTGGTTATTAACAGCAAGATTTGATTGGTAAGTCGTTTGTTACAGCTACGTAGATGTGGATAATTTTGCTATTTTCAGAGTTGATCGTATGCCAGCCTTGAGTCTCAAGTTGCGATCCAAATGATTGAAGTAAACCATACTTTGCGATACTATATTACTGAGAGTTGGGCAGCGGATAAATAAAAGAATGTAAAGTCTCCCAATGACTAAAAACTAACAAATTCAAACATTTTTTGAAGTAAAATGGTGAAAATCATTAGACTCATCTTATGTATATGTGATAATTATTGTGATTTTCTTGCATAATTGAAGTATTCATCTAATCATTAAAGCTAGCGGAAAAATTAAATGTTATCCTAACACTAGGAAAATGTTAATCTTTTAAGCAATAGATGGCGCTGTGGAGTTCCCGTTTACTGTCTCGTCCACATGCAGTGCTGTAAATCCTGTCAGTTTATCATGGACGTTTGTAAGCGGTTGTTTAGCGTCTTGTTGACATGAAAAGCTCGATTTTATAATGCAAACATGCCGAATCCGATTCCATCTCGCCGGTCTGGCACCAGCAAAATTCGTTTAACATGTAAGCATTATTTCTTAGAATTCTTGTTGTCTTTTTCTCCTTAGAATTTTCGAGATTCCAATGGTAAAAGTCATTGGTAGCTATTTGGTAAGGTCAATCATCCCATGCTAATAATTTAAATTTATTCTTTCATACCTAAATAGGCTAGTGAATTACCTGGAATGTTTTTTTTTATAACTCATGCTCAGCACCTGTTGGGTATGAGGCATGTCAATGGTCATTAGCAATCCTGTAGTATAAAAATTAATTTGGTTTTTTTCTTCTGTGTGAGAATTAGGTAGGTATGCAGAGATAATAAATTAGTAGGCCTAACAGGCAGTGTGGAATTCTGTATAGTTAATATATTCTCATGTTAATATATGAAAACGTATCGAAAAATCAACCCTACCACCGCGTTACACCACCTCACCTTCCACTGCAGTGAAATCATATAAACTGAGCTCATTGGAAACTGCCTTCCGCTCTTCCGAAATCGCGCGTGGTTTGAAATCCAATCCCGTGTTGCCAACGCCGAATCAAGTTAACTAGTCGTTTATCTGTAGGCTAGCGGACACATTTTTGCAATGAATACATTCTAAAATAAAAATAAAACACATCCAGAATCTTAAAAATCTCACGATTGGACAATACCAACAAACTTTTCGATATCACACCAAAGTATGAGATAAACGTCCACTTTTCCAAGGCGTACATTCACATGGTGTTTCCACGATCATAACTGACATGGCGGCGTCACAGGCATAGCTTTTGGTCATGTCAAGTTCGATTTCACAATAATTAGACTTGATCCACATTCCATACTGACATTTAAATGATGGAAATTTGGTTTAAATTATAAATACCAATTGATACGCGTCCAAACATACATTTCTTCAGGTTTCCTGCCTATTTTGTCGATATTGTCTATATAATTAACTTCACCTCAGATTCTAAAATTTTTTGCCTCAAATAACAATGTTGGATAGAAAAAGTGGTCTTGGTGGATCGAAATAATATATGAACCTTCAAAATTAGAATTCCATCCTGCTAACAGGTGTATTGACTGTATTCATGTTTAGCTACATATGCATAATAAATATATCAAATTGGATCTGAAGTCCTGAAACTCTAACTTTTTTGACAATTTTGGCTTCAGATTCACTTCTCTAGATTGATATTAAAAATGTAAACATTTTCAGAAATCAGAATTCCAACCTTGTCTCAACCTGCTTGAAGTTTAATGTAGGGTAAATGAGGTATATTCCAACACATTAAGGACGCATCGAGAAATGAAAAACTAGGTATAAAAAAATAACTGTATGCGTTACTTGAGTTCTGTTTGCTTTATGTGACTCGCAAAACACCGCACTAGGGTAAACGCGGTATATTCCGACACATTAAGGACGCATCGAGAAATGAAAAACTATAAAAAAAAACGTATGCGTTACGCAAGTTCTGTTGCCTTCACATGACTCTCAAAACACTTTACTACGCATCAGCAACGATGAAACGTCACAAAATGTTGCCATATTTATTAAAAAGCCTTTAGAATGGAAACCTACCAAATCCCTATATTCCATCACTTTGTGTGGCAATATTCGACACGTGGTGAGTCGTATTTCGTCAGCGCTTCAAATTTAACTGATATGTATTGCCAACATCCATGTGTTCAAATTCCGTTTGCTGTGTGAGCTGTATTGGGATACAACACGGCTTTGAATTAGAACACTAACGAATATTGAACACTACTTAATTACGTTTTAATTAACAGCTATTAGGCTTTTAATTAAGCAAATTTCAATTTTTGTACAAAGCTTTGCACGATCTGTGTGTGTCCAATTCAAGTTGTGTCGGAATTAGTTTTCATGTGTCTAAAAACAACATCTCAACTTAATCATCTATTAATTTATTTATGACTTGAAATCAGCGAATATAAGTATACTTAAAGGATTCCTAATATATTCACAGACGTATTTAAAAGTCTCAAACCATAATATTCTTCCTATAAAAACAGTTATTCACTATTTGGTAGAGCCATGTCAACTGTCAAATTTGACACATTTTTCAATGATCTCACCAGGTGGCATGCATTGTCTCTCTTTGGATCTCAATATTTTCCCACTAGATGGCAGAGACCTAGTGTTTTGGCAGTATTTTGACTTGCAAATGCATGACGTCGCCATTTCAACCATCAACAAACGCATGGAACTAAAACTAAGCTTAATATAAAGGAAAAGCTGGAGAGGTGACGGAATTACCTACGATGTCTGAATATACCGCGTTTACCCTACGTGCCAGCAACAATGAAACGTCACAAAATGTTGCCATATTTATATAAAAGCCTTTAGAATGCAAACCTTCCAAATCCCTATATTCCGAGACTGTGTGTGGCAATATTCGGCACGTGGTGAAGTGTATTCCGTCCACGCTTCAAAAGTTCAAATTCTACTGATAAGTAATGCCGTCATCCATGTGTTCGAATTCCGTTTGCTGTGTGAGCTGTATTGGAATACAACACGGCTTTGAATTAGAACACTAATGAATATTGAACACTAGGTACTTAATTATGCTTTTAATTAACAACTATTAAGCTTTTAATTAAGCAAATTTTAATTTTTGTACATAGCTAGGAACGATCTGTGTGTGTCCAATTCAAGTTGTGACGGAATTAGTTTTCATGTGTCTAAATCCATTTCTCAACTTGATCATCTATTAATTTATTTACCACTTGAAATCAGTGAATACAAGTATACTTAAAGGATTCCTAATATATTCACAGACGTATTTAAAAGTCTCAAACCATAATATTCTTCCTATACAAACAGTTATTCACTATTTGGCAGAGCAAGGTCAACTGTCAAATTTGACACAATTTTCGATGATCTCACCACGTGGCATGCATTGTCTCTCTTTGGATCTCAATATTTTCCTGCTAGATGGCCAAGACCTAGTGTTTTGGCAGTAGTTCAACGCGCAAATGTATGACGTCACCATTTCAACCATCAACGTATGCATGGAACTAAAACAAATCTTAATATAAAGGAAAAACTAGAGACGTGACGAAATTACCCACGATGTCGGAATATACCGCATTTGCCTTATACTGTATAGCGTATAGGGTAAACGCGGTATATTCCAACACATTAAGGACGTAGCAAGAAATGAACGGCTATTAAAATATCACCGTATGTGCCTAATGTCTTAGGCCACTAAGGCCATTTTGTGTGCTGATCCTTATTGTGATACAAAAATTTACATAGTAAATATACATAATACATTTTTATTGCATTTGTAGGTTATCTCAAGGTACTTCAATAGCCATTAACACATTTTTTCTAAGGCAAGAACTTTTTGAATTTGGATTATCTTCTATTTAAGTCAAAATGGTCCAAGTTAGCTACCCCATTTCACAGTACTGGAACTTGGAAGCTTCCTCTTTTACGAGCACTTCATGCTAGTAGAAGAG